CTACTACTACTATTATTATTATTTGTATCGTTGTTGGTGTTGGTTGCTGCATTTCTTGCCGTGGCGGCGGAGTTCGCTCTCGCTTCCTCTCCCTCTCCAACTCTGGCCTCTCGAGCGGGCCACGCGCGTCAGGGCGGCGGGCGAGGGCGGCGAGGCACGAGCGGGGGTTGTTGGGTGGCGCCTCACGCAGCCGCCCTTCGTGTGTATGCAGTAGTGGTGGGCCCCCGCTCCTTCCTCCCGCACCCCTGTTTTTTTTTTCTCCTCCCCTTTTCTTTTCTTTTGCGCGCTCACTGCCTCCCGCGGGAGGAACACATTGGCCAATTGAGGACAAATCAAAGGGTGGTGGGGGAAGAGAGAGGGGAGGATTTAAAAGAAAAAAGAAAACAGACAGACAACAAACAACAACAACACAAAGAAAACGCAGTGAACCGTGGAGATAGCAAGGCACAGGACGGTAGAAGACACGGCGGGGGTGCAAGCAGCCGTATCGCCTGCATCGCCAGCGTCATCGTCGCTGCAGCTGCCGCGAAGACCGCGGGCGACAATCACAGGGGAGCGAGGGGAAGCTGCGCAAGGCAGTTGCTGAGATTGTAAGGCGCTTTAAATGCAGGGCATGGAGGACACCGAGGATGAATTCCAGCAGGCCCCCTTCCTGCATCGCGCAGGCAGCGGCGCGAATAGAACGGACCCGGACCCTGCTGGCTACTACGCCATCCTCGGGGTGCCGCAGGATGCCTCGCACGATGCCATTAGGCGATCCTTCCTGTATTTGAGTCAGGTGTACCACACCGACAAACACGGCGGGGATACACGGGAGATTCAGCAGCTGATGAATGAGCGCTTTCAGCAGCTGCAGGAAGCCTACGTGGTGCTCTCCGACGAGAGGCAGCGGGCAGCGTACGACATGGCTGGATTAAAAGGCATGAACTTGTTCTCACTCATTCCAGGAAACATCACTCTCCCCGAGGAAGTTGCACGTTACGTGGCGTTATTGGAGAAGGAGCAGGAGGTGCTGCAGCTGGAAACCATGCTCGCGTCCACCTCGTCGCTTCACCTCTCCTACTCTCTCGCACACCTCTTTCTTCCCGCCGATGCAAATACCGCAGCTTCACCGCCTGCGACGGAGGAGGTGGAAGGTGACGGGGGTTCTGCCCCAGCGCAGGCGACGGCGGCCGAATCCGCAGCCACAAGCGAGGAGGTGGGTGACGCGGCAAAGGGTGCGGGGCCGCCGAGTGCGCCAAGTGGGACGGACGCCGCCGATAAGACTTCTCCAGCGCCTCTGCAAAGCGCACAAATGCAGGCAAAACTGATTCTCTTGGACGGTGAGGAACGACTCGTCTTGATTCCTTCGCCCGAGGTGGAGGGGATGCTGCGGCAAAAGGTTGCAGAGTCGCGTCGTGGTGCCTCGCAGGCGCCGGCCTTTCCCGCACGACGTCGTTCGCAGCTCACGCCCATGCAGAAACTTTCCATGGCCGTCATGCCGCGTGAAATTTTTTTCGAGAACTCGTTTACGCACCAGCTGACCCCGCAACTTGCCATGGTGTTTGAGACAACTGCAAGCCATCAGGGCCCCAAAGCGACGGTGGGCTGTAGAGGACACCTGAAGTATGCACCGGATGCCATTCGCCGATACAATGCTTCGTGCAGCACCTCCCTGCAGGGCTTGCAGGTGGCGTTTACCCGCTTTCGTGAATTGAGCGCCGTGTGGACGCTCAAAACAAAGTTGCTCCTTTTAGATGGTAGGAGTTTACTGCACCGGTTTGAGGTCTCCCTCACACGAAAATTATCCCCGGCGTGGTCATTGAAGAACACTTTGGAGATGTTTCTCACAGAAAACGGTGTTTTTAAAGCCAGCCTCGTTGGCGTGAAGGACGGGCTGATGAAGGGTTTCTCCGCGCACATGGGTTATAGGCAGCTGGGGCTTTTTTTCCACAACGGGTCGCCGCTCATCGTTAACGAGGAAGAGGAGGAGGAAGGAGGAAGCAAGGGGATCGCCTTCGTGACGCAGCTCGTGTCCTTGTTTCCCCTTGCCGGGGTCGGTCGCGTTGGCTTTCAGGCGTGGTACAACACTAGCGAGTGGCAGTCCATTGGCGTAGGGTTTTCCACCGATTTGCCCTTGTCCATGCTCCCCATCAGCTACCCGCGGGGCAGCGACGGGCGGAAGGCGGTCAACACCCTCACCTTCCTCTACAAGCGGAAAAGCCACAGCATTGAAATTCCTGTTGCGGCGTTTATTTCCTCTCAGCTTCAGCAGGTGCTTCTCTGGCTGGCGGCGCCGTGGGTGTGTTATCGTACGGCACGACTCGTCTGGGGACCGTTCCAGCGCTCGCGAGCGGCGACGCTCTATCGTCAGCGCCGCTTGGAGCACCAGGCGGAGATGGACGTGGCGCGTACGCGTGCCATGCACGAGCAGAAGGCAGTGGAGAGCATGTCCTTGCGCAATCGTGTGCTGGAGGAGAAGGTTAGTGGGCTCGTTATCATGAATGCGAAGTACGGGGTGCTGAGTCCGCGCTACCCTGAGTCGCTCTGCGCGCGGGCGCCGGGTGCGGCGGTGGAGGCCCCACGGCGGCTGCCGTGGTGGCAGGGCTGGCGAACGCGGCCGGCGTCCTCGCCAAAGTCGCCCGCCGCAAGTGACGCGGCACTCAATACGGAAGAGGATGCTGTCGCGTCCTCCATTCTGGTGCTGGACGTCACTGTGGCGCTTCAGAACTTTGTGCGGGACTCAAAGCTCCTTTTGCCGGCCGGCACGAAAAGCAAACTGGTGGGCTTCACGGACCCCGATCCCTTCACGGATGAGAAGAAGGAACTCAAGATTGTTTACCGGTTCCAGCACAGGCGCCACGCCGTGACTTTCAAGGACGATGAGCCGGTGGAGCTGCCGCGGCGAGAGCATTTGGTGGAGTGATAGGAGCTCCCTATTGGACGTTAACGAGGCGCTAGAAGCACACACACACACACACACGTATTATATATGTATATATATATATATGCGTGTCTGTGATCCAGGTGGGGGAGGTGGTGGGGGGTGCGAGGGGAAGAGAAACAGCGAAGGAAGGAAAATAGAAAACGGAACCAAAACGACCAAAAGGAAACAACAAAACGAAGGAAG